GTTCCGGAGATATTCCATTTTTAGTGTCAAATGATTATGTGGAATATCTCAAAATTGACTTGACCGAATTCATTTTTTTTTTATGTGAAAATTTTTGTTTTGATGTCGTCTATCATAATCAATTGAAATATATATACTCGCCCATTCAAAGTTTTGGAGATATTTCGATTTTTCATTTTTGCTTCCAAATGGAATGGTTTTCAGTTGAAATCGTGGTTCGCCTTCTCATCCCCGCAAAAATTGAACTGTTAACTTGAAATTTTAACGAGATTTCACTTTTATCATTACAATGCATGGTATTCAAAATAGATGATCAATAGTACCTAGTATATGGACTAATGGTAGCACGCCTACAGATGGATTAAAAAAAATCAACGAATTAACTTGAAATGCTGAAAGAATTTATTCAAGTTTATTATTTTATATTATTCTTTAGTAACGTTCGTAATGATCGAATTGATTTTATTTATACATCCAACTTCAGAGTGTATAGTCATTCTGCAAGCTAGACAGAGCAATTTTGGTTAACTGTCGATTGGAAGGCCGAACTGGAAGATCTGACGATTGAATGATAATTTCAGAATTGGTTATCACTTGCTTATCATGATTGTGACTTCGGTTGAGGCGAAGGTCAGGTTGATGAGCCCACGGCTGAGGGTTTATTATTTCCCATATGGTTTTAAAGGTTGTAGCATAATTTTTTTTTACAGTTTTTACAGTTTTTTTTTACGGTTTTTAATTTTCAGGAATCCGTGTTCCTAAAATTATTAGATACTAAAATTTAGGTATTTTATCAATCATTTTCAATGACAAAATCTATGAAAACATGCTACATTTCTGGATATTTTTTAATAAAATTGAAGAAGAATTAAAATTCTCAATTTTATTTGATAACGTCATTCAAAGATAACGTCATTATCTTTAAATTACGTGATGTTCAAATTGAGTAGTTCTTCAGATTTAATTTTACAGACTATTCATTAAAAATGGCCACATTCAACGTTATTGTAAAGCGTCAACATAAATTAAATAGGGAAATACTTGATTCAGATAGAACAGCGACTTGAATCCAGTAGCTATGCTCACTGAATCAATAGAATTTTATACAACTACTAACATTAAAACACTGAGTGAAAAAATATTGAAAAAAAATTCGAATTATAATATATTAAATGTATATATATTTTCTTTCAGATCTCAAAAAATAATGCTTTTAGAAAGGCATTATTTTTTTTAAAAGAAAGCAGAGAAATTTTGAGGAAACGCTATTCAATAATGTATTGTTTCGAAACAAATTATACGGAAGAACAGAGAAAGAGGAAAGTTGATGCTATAGAAAATGAAAAACAGACAACAATATTAGATGAAAATCAAAGGGAGCTAAATAAAAAACAAAGACTGGCGAAAGCTGCAAAGATGAAGAAGATTTGGCAAAATAAATATGACGAGAAAATTAAAGAACAAATGAATAATCAAAAAGAAGGCCAGAACGAACATCAGAATGAAGTTACAAATTAAGATAAAAATGAAATGAATGCCTGCGAATAACATAGAAAAAAATTATAGAAATGAACAAATAAAGATTTTTTAATCAAATAATTTGATGTTTTCGTTCATTTTATAGACATTCTTAATAGATATAAATTAATAGGAAAAAAAAATTTGTAAAAACCTTTCGGAAGCTCGCCATCAATTTATTGATGGGAAACAAAATATACCCATACATTTCAATAACTCATCTACAGTCATATAATTGCTGTCGCCTGCTTGTTTTTTAAATTTCTTCGAAACTAAGAGATATTGAGCAATTTTTGTAATTTCCAATTTATTTAACAAAAAATATATTGGCAAAACTTTGGCTATCTTCCTCTAGCGTCAGTTAACGTATTTCATTTCATAACTTTCCTGCAGAATTGTTTCAGTAAAATTTTTTTAGCTCACTTATTAATATCTGAAAATTCCCATCTGTGACATTCCTTCGTAAGATGGGAATGGGTTCATCAGCGTTCAAGCCGAGAATGTTGATGACTTCCTCATTGTTTATCGGTTGGACAGCTGTGAGCAAATTTTTTATTTCATTATCGTGTAAATCCGAGTAAGCAGGTAAAACGGAGCTGAATCATATATTAATAACCTTTGTCATGGAGTGGAGCCAATATGAAGTCCTGAATTCGCATTGTATTGGAAATGGTGTAATCATTCTGGAAGGTTGAAGATAGGTGATTTCCGCACGCTAAAGATCGAGGAACATCTAATGAGCCGTTGTCATATACATCCCACATCTGACAAAAATTCTAAGACATCAGGTGCTGTATTTTGGATCAGCCATTCAAATATATAATCTATGATCTCATATAATATATGATCTGAATGATATGAGCCGTGATGGAGTTCACGTCTCATTGAAAAAATACAGGCAGATATCACATGTGTATTTAAAATTTACATTACTCAATTCTTCTTTATTAACATTAAGGTGACGCAGACAACATATTTCAAGAACTACTCAACCGATCGGGCTGAAATTCAGCACAGATGAAGTCCATATTAGAACCTATGAACTGACCAAATTTCAGATTTTTG